CAAAGAACACCCATCAAAGAGAACAAAATGTCAAAGTGGACAGGTTTTTGGAAGACATAGACATTGAGTTCCCATCTCACAGTGACTGCAGGTTCCACTGAAATTTAGAGGCCTCATGGCTCCCATTCCCTTTGAGCAGGTCACTATGCTATACTCTGTGGAGATTCTCCATCATCCAGGTCATGGTTGTCCCAAAGGTGCTTTTTCAAAAGTCAATTGGACTTTCTTGTTTTTCCCTGAAGACATTTCTCTTCTCATCCCAGAAGCTCCTTCAGTTCAAGAAGCTTCAGGGATGAGAAGTGAAACATCTTGAAGGGAAAACAAAGTCCATTTGCCCCAAAGATGCTTTTTCACGAGGCAACTAAACTTTGTTTTTCTTTGAAGACATATCGCTTTTTATCCGAGAAGCTTCCTCAGCTCTGACTGGATGGTGGGGAAGGGAAGGATTCACACTCCTTGCAGACAGCTGGTCATTTGCATCTTTTCAGAGAGTCGTTGAAGCCATCTGGAGGTTGACCTGTGTCCTCAGGGTCACCCGAGTGATGCAAATGCGTGTGGAGCCTTCTTGGAGCTGCTGAAAGGACTGTGTGGTGGACTGGAGATAGATGAGGTCCTATCCCTCCCCCTTTGTTGAGAAAGGGCTGTTCAATTTGGACAGAGACGGCCTCTTTGACCCCCCACCTTTGAAACCAGTGATCCTCTCTGTCCAAAATGTGGACTTTGCTGTCTTCAAAAGAGCAGCCTTTGTCTTTTAAATTCAGATGGACTGCTGACTCTTGTGTTGATGTGTTTGTTCTCCTGTGTTGTGCCAGGTGTATATGAAAGTGCAGTTTCCTTTTGAAAAAGCATCTTTGTGACAGCTATATTGGTTTCAGGTTGTGTGTTGGTATCTGAAGGTGCTACTAGACTAAAAGGAGAGTGGAAGAGGCCCACTGAGACTAAGATGCCCAGGACTTCACCTGTATTCACATTCACAAGGTCTTTAGGTGGTCCTTACCTTCAGGTAGGGGTCTGCAACTCTTGAGCTGCTGCAGGGCCAGCCAAGAGGGTCACAGCCAGCAGACACCCCAAGACAATGACCTTTATCCTGCAAGCGAGGAGGGGAGAGATCAGGAAAGGCATGGTAGTGCCTCGTAGAGACCATGAGGAGCTGGCTGTCCCTGCCCAACAGGTCTGAGCATCAGAACTGGCCATGGACCCAAAGGAGGGTTGAAGACACCTTCAAGGTTCTTCCATCGTCCCAGAGGACCATCAACAACATTCCTGGCATAGTGTCTCTGCCTGTTTTCTCCACTGATCTTTCTCACATACTGACATCAATCTTAATGTCCCATAAAAAAAGATCATCACAGACTCACTCTGTGATTAGCACTTCCTTTTTTCTCCCACCACTCACCTTCTCCACTCTTGGTGATGACCACAGACATGGATGTCCTTCCTGGAGGATGAGCAACCACAGCTCCTTTCTACCAACAGGTCTTAATGCTTCAGGTGAGCCCTGGACCTCCTTCTGGCCAGCCCCGGTTTTATCCCCTTCCTCCTAGGTAAGACTAGCCTGGCTCAGAAAGTCCAAGCCAATCAGGAGGAGGCTAGACCGGAAGTTGACCTGGGACCCAACACAGGCGGACCTTCAGGTTGGCCACTGGTAGAAGACCTATCACCGTCCAGCAAACATGGTCTTCTCTCGTGTATTTTCAGCCCTACGACCCCTCTCAAAATGGAGTTGGCTCTCTCCCATAGCGAAAAACAACATACAGCTTTTTAGCCGGAAAGCTTGCGCACAACACATGACAAGCCCTCATGACACATGACAAGCCCTCCGCAAACACTAAAATCAGCTCTGAATTTCGCAAGACCTCTGCGTCTCATGCGTGGAATGGGGCCATTTCAGTGGGGCCATTTGGTGAGCTCATCAAACAGACCAAAAGCAAACTCAAGTTTTTTTTTTTTTTTTAAATCATGGCTGCATCAACTAAGCCAACTCTTCATTGATTTTATTTTCTCCGTAATTATCTTCTCCAACCCCACCTCCTTTTCCACATAAATAAAAAAATTGGCTATCTTCTCTGTGGTTATTGCCTCTGTTGGAGGTCCAAGGCTGAGGAGCAGTCTTCTCCAACAAATGGAAGACACCCCCCCTCCTTTGGAATATTGGAACCAGGTTTGGTCACAACAATCTCAAGAAGATGTTGAGTGCAGAGAAGTGCAACAAAGTTGATGAAGGGAATGGGAGGCTAAAACATACGAAGGACAGTTGCAGGAATGGGGTCTGTCTATTTTAATGAAGAGAAGGATGAGGGGGGACACAGTAGCAGTGCTCCAATATCTGAGGGGCTTCCACAAAGAAGAGGGGGTCAAGCTATTCTCCAAAGCACCTGAAGATAGAACAAGAAGAACCTAATCAAGGTGAGATCCAATCCCGAGTAAAGAGGGAATTTTATGACAATTGGAACAATTAATCAGTGGAACAACTTGCCTCCAGAAGTTGTGGGTGCTCCATCACTGAAGGGATTGGACAGCCATTTGTCTAAAATGATATAAGGTCTCCTGCTTGAGCAGGGGTTGGACTAGAGGACCTCCAACTCTGTTATTCTGTTATTCCTCTAGGACCCAGGACCCTTGAGAATTGGGCCCTTCACAGAGAGGACCCCCAAAGTCCTTTGACCTCACATCACCTGCAGAGGATGCCAGAGCAAGCCACCCACAGCTGCAGCACTTCAGAGTACCTGGGACAAGCTGTACTCCAGCAGTGTCCATCAAAGTGGGGACCCCCTGTTCCTAGGAGACCAGGAGTGTAGTTCTGGCCTTAGACATTGATCAGTTTCCAACCATTGTTTCTTGTCCCGCCCTCTGGTGCTTTGGAGAATAGCCTGGACCCCTCTTCTTTGTGGCAGCCCTCAAATACTGGAACACCACTTTCATGTCTCCCCTATTTCTTCTCTTCTTTAGACTAGCCAAACCCAAGTCCCGCAGCCGTTCTTCGTATGTTTTAGCCTCCAGGCCTAGGATCATCTTAGCTGCTCTTCTCTGAATTTTTTTCCAAACTCTCAACAACTTTTTTGTGATGTGATGACCAAAATTAGTTGCTGTATTCCAGGTGTAGTCTTACTAGGGTTTTATAAAGTGGTACTAATACAGTGCTGCATACTGCTGGCTCATGGTCAAGTGATCGTCCACTAGGACTCCACAGTTACTGTTTTTGAGCCAGGTCTCACCCAGTCTGTACTTGTACCTTTGGTTTTTCCTGCCTAAATGTAAAACTTTGCTCTTCTCCACATTAAATTTCATGTTGTTGGACAGGGCCCGTTGTTCAAGTTTGCCAAGATCTTTTTGGACCCTGACCTTGTCTTCTGGGGGGTTGGCTACTCCTGCCAGTTTGGTGCCATCTGCAATTTTTTTTTATTAAATAATTTTTATTAAATACAAAAGAAAAGGAAATTAAAAACATTGAACATGGTGTATCGTCCTCGACATATATCTTCGTCTTATCATTCCATAATGTACAAATGAGTAGATATTATGTATTTATATACAGCAGACATGTCAAACCCAAGGCCCGGGGGCCGGATGCGGCCCACGAAGTGGTTTCACGTGGCCTGCGAAGCCATCCTGGAAACAGTGAGGGAACGGCCCCCGCTGCCTTGGCCCTGGCCCAGGCCAGCCAAGAGCCAATGTACAATTTTGTGGTGGCCATCTATGCTGAAACGCACTCAATCTTAGCTCCATGATCCCCCCCCCCCCGCATGGCCTGAGAGGAAGAGTGAGGCTCCTCCAGTGGACCATGCCTTGGCGCTTGCCCCAGTCCCACCCCCTTCTGCCAAAGACCCTCAGATCTGGCCCACTCCTGCCCAGGCCCCCACAAGCACCCTTGGCGCGAACGGTGTAGAGCTGGCTACACCCACCCAGTAGACCACACCCTCTCCATCCACACCCACCCAGTAGGCTGCACCCACCCTGGCCACACACCCCCGCCCCCCCAAGGGCAACCGCAATGTTGATGCAGCCCTCAATGAAATTGAGTTTGACACCCCTGGAGTACAGCTATACAATCCTAGTATCCTTCCTCTGCTTATAACCCTTCCGCCGAGTCCATTCTTTTTTCCCTCCATTTGTAAAACTTGTTCCAAATTAGATAATATTCTGTTTCTTCCTGAATTTTTAATTCTTTAGTCATTCTATCCAATTCTGCGTAATTTTCATTATTATTATTATTATTATTATTATTAATAATGATAAAGTTGTAAGGGACCTTGGAGGTCATCTAGTCCAACCCCCTGCTCAGGCAGGAAACCCTATAACATTTTGGACAAATGGCTGTCCAGTCTCTTCTTAAAAAGTCCCAGTGTTGGAGCATTCACCACTTCTGGAGGCAGGTTGTTCCACTGGTTAATTGTTCTCATTGTCAGGAAGTTTCTCCTTAGTTCCTGGTTGCTTCTCTCCTTGATGAGTTTCCATCCGTTGCTTCTTGTCCTGCCTTCGGGCGCTTTGGAGAATAGCTTGACTCCCTCTTCTTTGGGGCAGCCCCTGAGATACTGGAAAGCTGCTATCATGTCCTCCCTCATCCTTCTCTTCATTAAACTAGACAGACCCAATTCCAGCAGCCGTTCCTTTTATGTTTGAGCCTCCAGTCCCCTGATCATCTCTGTTGCTCTTCTCTGTAAACCATACTTAGAAACATGGAAAACTGACTGCAGAAAAAGAACTAAGGGTCGATTGAGTTGGCCCTTTTTGTTCGTTTCTCGCTTTCTTATTTATTTATTTATTTATTTATTTTTTCTTAGTATTATTTTATTTCATATTTATACCCGGAGAACAGGGAATGAACCGAGAGGGCTTCCCTTGCTTTCCCCGAACAGACACAAAGGCCTCCCTTTTAACCAAAGAATGACCAGAGGAAAGCCAGGAATGTGTCTTAAGAGCCCAGAGGCAGTTTATTTGGATTTCTTTGGAGAGCAGTCGGCCTTCTGGAGGAGCCCACAGAACAGGGTGTAGCTGCTCTACTGAGTGCTGTAGACCTCCACTTCACAGACGGCCAAGCTGCTAACTCTAGGCTGGTGGACACTGACGTAGCGGCCTCGCTGCCCATTGCAGTAGATGGTGGTGATGGAGCCCGGGCTGGTGTTCAGGATAATCCCACAGCTGTGGGGCAAGAAAGGTCACATTAGGAGAGCAGCCCTCCTGGCCTACACCTGCTGGTCACTCCACCCTCACCCTGAGAACACAGCCCCCCCCCCAGCTCTCCTGTGCTCTGCTTCCTCTGGTGTTCTACCTCCATTTTGCCTGTAATATTCCAATTAATTGGAAAAAATAATTTAGTTGGACAAAGGAATAGAATAGAATAGAATAGAATATGGAATGGAATGGAATAATGATAGAATAGAATAGAAATAAGAAATAGAATAGAATAGAAAATAGAATAGAATAAAATAGAATAGAATAGAATAATGATAGAATAGAATAGAAATAAGAGATAGAATAGAATAGAATATAAATAAGAATGAATAGAACAGAATAGAATAGAACAGAATATAGAATAGAATAGAATAGAAGAATGAATAGAATATAAATAAGAATGAATAGAATAGAATAGAATAGAACAGAATATAGAATAGAATAGAATAGTATATAAATAAGAATGAATAGAATATAAATAAGAATGAATAGAATAAATAAGAATGAATAGAATAGAATAGAATAGAATAGAATAGAATAGAATAGAATAGAATAGAATAGAATAGAATAGAATAGAATATTCTTCATTTAGCCAAGTGTGATTAGACACATAAGGAATTTGTTTCTGGTGGAGAACCTCTCAGTATACATACAAACAACAAAGGAAAATAATCATAATAATGATACCAATAAGAGAAGATTGTGGAACAGATGAGAAGGATAATAGTAACACAGCTGGGATACATGGGTAGATATCCTTAGAAATAACACAATATTGTGGTAATTAGGTGATCAAAAGAGTGATGGCACGAGGGAAAAAAACTAAAGGGATATGTTTTAAAAAAAATACTTTGATTGCTCTGTCAAGGACAATGACTAATTTACTCCCTTGTGCAACAGTTTCTCTAAGTGAAATGTAATGATTGAGTCCATCTTTATTTGCTATTTCCCTCTCCTGATATATTTTTTGAGTCCTAGGTCTGGCCCAAAACACTTAGGAAGAATCCTTTCCACCCTGAATGCATTTTTTTTTCACGGTGTAGTGACCAGAATGCCATGTACAAAGTCCAAGCAGATAAAACCACAGCCAGGTGGTCTTATGCCATGCGCTTAACCCGGTTCTGAAGGAACCCATGTCCTAGATCTGCAACATACCTGTCAGCAGAAATTAAGCAATCAGGCGGAATTCACACAGACTCCAAACTAATTGAGACCACAAATAATAATAATAGTAATAATAATAGTAATAGTAATAGTAATAATAATAATAATAATAATAATAATAATAATAATAATAATAATAATAATAATAAAGTTGGAAGGAACCTTGGAGGTCATCTAGTGCAACCCCCTGCTCAGGCAGGAAACCCTATCCCATTTCAGACAAATGGCTGTCCAGTCTCTTCTTAAAAACTTCCAGTGTTGGAACAATCACCGCTTCTGGAGGCAGGTTGTTCCACTGGTTAATTGTTCTCACTGTCAGGAAGTTTCTCCTTAGTTCTAGGTTGCTTCTCTCCTTGATGAGTTTCCATCCATTGCTTCTTGTCCTGCCTTCAGGGGCTTTGGAAAATAGCTTGACTGCCTCTTCTTTGGGGCAGCCCCTGAGATACTGGAAGACTGCTATCATCTCCCCCCTCGTCATTAAACTAGACAAACCCAATTCCAGCAACCGTTCCTTATATGCTTTAGCCTCCAGTCCCCTGATCATCTTTGTTGCTCTTCTCTGTACTCTTTCTAGAGTCTCAACATCTTTTTTATATCGTGGTGACCAAAACTGGATGCCGCATTCCAAGTGTGACCTTACCAAGGCTTTGTAAAGTGGCATTAACCCTTCACGTGATCCTGATTCTATCCCTCTGTTAATGCAGCCCAGCACTGTGTTGGCTTTTTTGGCAGCTGCAGCACATAGCTGGCTCCTATTTAAGTGACTGTCCACTAGGACGCTGAGATCCAGGTTAATGCCTGGCATCAGTGCAAAGACGGGTCTTTCCCCGTCTCTTGCGGGAGCAAGGAAGGAGGTCATCTCATAATCTCCACACCAAGGGAGTCCTGACATCTTGGTCCCCAGGCCAAAGTTGGCACCTCCTACCCAACAGCACCCCAAAATCGCCCACACTGGCTGTGAATTCTATGCGTGGTGATCCGCAAACCTTTGGAGGGCCCAAAACCCCTGGAAGCACCAAACACCTGGCGACAGCTGGCTCAGAGCAACTTACATAGGATTGGACCTTCCGTGGTTTTCCAAAGAGTCTCCCACATGGACCTCGACTTGGTGGATTCCTTCAGCACAGCAGTCGTCACGGTTTTTCACCACCACCCCGAAGATGTTGTAAGAGTCCCCCAGGTCAACGAACCACCACGGCTGTTTCTCGTGCTTGGTGAGGATGCAGGAGCCCTTGGACCAGTTCCCGTTACAATTCCCATCCACGGCTTTCTCTGCTGAGCCAACGATCTGATGAGGGTGGATGGAGGACTGGAAGGCTGGCTTTCCCAGGGCCAGGTTCTTCATCTTGACGTCTGCAGGAGAGAACGGAGGAGACCTGGAAGGGGGATGGGCAGCAGGGGACCAGATGCCTTCAGAAAGAAGGGAAGGTGCTAAGCCGTGAGGGCCTCCCTTGGGGGGAGACTGGGGGTGAGTTTGAAGACTGGGAAAGGGGTGGAAGGAAGCTGAGTTCTATGCTACCTTTCTTTGCTATTGGGGGAGGAATTCTTTTCCCTCCCTCCCTCCCTATTTTGGAGGAAATTGGCAAGAGAAGAACTGCACAGCATCACATTAGATTCAATGTGACTTCAAATGAGCAGCCCTTTATCACGTTTTTATCCTGACGGGCGACATTTACCTGTAATGATGCTAAGAAAAAGACTCAGGCATGTCTTGAGCAGAGGTTTGAAGCTGCAAGACACAGCTTCACACAGCCTTACAAAACTCTTGAGTTTATTATTTCTTATATACTTTTTACATACATAGGCTTTACCATTAACTGCTGACATTTACATTTAGAAGTTTAACCTTTAGTTGTTGACATAAAGTAATTGAAAAATTCCTTCATATAAGCAATTATTTTCTAGTAACACATTACCTGTTGAGAGCAAGTAAAAACAAATACAGGTAAATTAGAAAAGGAGAAAGAACTGATAAAGGCAAGATTTACCCACTTTAGATAACATGATCCGTGCACAATTTTGTTTGACTGGAGACCATGTAGGTCAGTGGTGGCGAACCTACGGCACGGGTGCCAGAGGTGGCACTCGGAGCCCTCTCTGTGGGCACACATGCACTGTCTCCCCAGCCCCGCCTCTTCCCATAGCCCCCTCCTCACCAGCAGCCCCCCCCCCAGAGGAGAGTTGCCCATGGGCGCAGCCCACACGAAGCAGCGGAGCCAAGGACATGGTAGCTGGGCAGCGGGGACAATGCCCTTGCGCCCCCTTGCGCGCAGATATGCTGCAGGGCAGGGGCGGAAGACATGGCCGCTATGGCGCTGCTGGGCTGCCTGGGTGATCTGTGGCGGGCCGTGGAGGTGGTGGGTGGCCCAGTGGGCAGGGCGGAGCGGGGACGGGGTGGGGGCAGTTTTGGGGCACTCGGTCTCTAAAAGGTTCGCCATCACTGATGTAGGTGATGTTTTTCTAGGCCCTTGTTAGACTCAGGAGGGCAAACCTCCATTTTCCCTGAGGTGCTGTGAGCAATTAACCACACCATCCCTCCCAGTTTACAGTCTATAGCAGGAGTCTTCAAACTTGGCAACTTTAAGACTTGTGGACTTTAACTCCCAGAATTCCTCAGCCAGCCCTGTGGACTTGTGGAGTTGATAGGAACCAACGTGGTGATAGGATAATCGGTATCCAAAAAAAAAAAAAAAACCAAAACCACAGAATCATAAATATACAACTCAACTTTGCTCCTTAAAAGTTCCCTCTCTATTTTCTCTCAGTTAATGTAACATATTCAAAATAATACATTTCTAAATAAAATTCAAACAGTCAGCAAAATTATCAATGGCATTTTACCTATGCAAATCCAAATCCTGTTTTTAAGCTTTATTAACTTCCAATTACCGTATTCCAATTTAGCCTTAACTAGGTATATTATTTACGTTTTGGGCATCCCTAACTTCCCTCCTTTCATAATATAATGACTATACTGTCTAAGATAAACATATTATTCCAACAATTACACTATTACATTTCCCAAATATATTCTGTTTTCTATTCTAATACCTCCTTCCTTTACTAATATCGTATCTTCCATTATCACAATCCATTTCCTTGTTCTCATTCCAATTACAAAATAATTATCGTACCTAAAATAAACATGTTATTCCAAAAAATACATTCTTACTCTATTTCAGTTTTATATTCTATTCTTTATCTATAGACTTGATCTTCAGCAGGTCTCTCCAGAGCAGTGGTTCTCAACCTTTTTAATGCCGTGACCCCCAACCAGTCATAAGTCGAGGACTAAACCGGTCGTAAGTCGAGGACTACTCCACTGGTGCAGCACTGTTTGCAGAATGGGACTTTTGGCGGGCTCAGCAGGGCAGAGACAGCCTGGACAATTCCTATTGGCTTTCAAAAGCCAATAGAATAAAAGGGAGGAGCACAGCTAAGGAAAAGGGGGGAAAAAATGGAGGACTGCGTTGTTTGGTGACCCCCGTGAAATGGTCGTTCGACCCCAAATGGGGTCCCGACCCACAGGTGGAGAACCACTGCTCCAGAGGCTGCCCAGATGTTTTGAAGCGTGTGGGTGCGAAAGATAGAAAAACAGAGAGAACAAGGGCCAGGAGATCCCAGTGGAACTTGTGGTCTGCTGCACGGCCATTGTCCCTGGAAGCCGAGACTTCAGCTTGTATGTTTCTCACAAACTGGGTGCTTGAGTGTTTAATTCTCATTGCTTCCAAGGGCATCTCACAACGGCCGTGCAGCAGACCACAGGTTCCACTGAAGTTCAGAGGTCTCCTGGCCCTTCAAGCAACTACATATGGCCTCAAATGCATTTGAGGCAGTGTGCTGGGTATCTGAAGGTACAACAAGACTAAGAGGAGACCATTGGGATATTGAGATGGCCAGGACTACACTGGTATCCACACACACACAGGTCTTCTGGTAGTTCTTACCTCCAGGTGTAGGCCTGCAACTCTGAGCTGCTGTAGGGTCTGCCAAGAGGGTCATGGCCAGCAGACACCCCCCAATGAAGAGCATCATCCTGCAAGTGAGGAAGAGAGAGATTAGGAAAGGTGGAGTAATGCCACATAGAGACAATGAGGAGCTGGCTTCCCCTGAGCATCAGGACCCAAAAGAGCAGGGGTCTCCAAACTTGGCCCTTTTATGACTTGTGGACTTCAAATCCCAGAATTCCTCAGCCAGCAAAGCTGGCTGAGGAATTCTGGCAATTGAAGTCCACAAGTCATAAAAGGGCCAAGTTTGGAGACCCCTGCAAAAGACGGTTGGAGGAACTTTAAAAGTTTGGCCATTCTCCCCAGAGCATTCCTGAATTTGCTCCTCTGCCTTTCCTCACCTGCTCCACTCTTATATAGGTCCATTAAGGTGAGCTGCTTGAAGGTGAGAAGGCCCGTGGTTCTGGTCTTTGGCATCCGCTTCACAGGCTTTGTTTAACTCACCTGGAGTCTCTTACTTGGCCAACCCAACGGAGGTGAGCTTTCAAAGTTGCTTCTCTTCCAACGGCGATTTCTCCAGAATATCGAATTATTTTCTCTTTAGGACTGGTTAAAACTTCCTTCCTCATGTGGAGTACCTCCTCCTTCGCAGAGCTCCGCCAGCCAATGGGAAGGGGCAGAGCTTGTGCTTGAGACCAGGGACCCAGTCAAGACCAGGTTTCAAATCTCCCACAAATGGCTGGCAGTGGGCATGTTACACAATCCACATTTCACGGAATTTCACATCTCTTTCCGTGTGCTGAATATCCTCTTGAGAAGAATATAATGGTCTTCTTGGCAGAGGCCAGCTGATCTCAATATCAGAACAACCCCATTGTTGTGAGCAAGCAACAATAGGAATGCTGGTTTTGCAAGACCCAAGCATTCTCCACATGTCCAAAGTCAATACAGGTTGGGCAGTTGCAGTTGCTAGAGAAAACCATAATGCTTGCCCCAGTCTCACTAGAACATAAGAAGGAATATTTCCAAATTAAAGTTAGAAAAAAACTTCCTGGCAATAAATAACACTGAAGTGCCTTACTAAGGAAAGTGTTGAAAACGTTGATGTCACAGGTTCCGACTAATGAAGCACTTCAAAGAACTTTCAGGCATGTTTCCTAAAGTCTTTATTACAGACTTTTTTACATAGTTTTCCACATCCTTTTTCAGCCCCGGCCACCAGAATTGCCGGCGGGTGAGGTGTAGGGTTTTCAAATATCCAAAGTGTCCAGCCTGCTTTACATCGTGGCTGTGTTTGAGAGCATTAAGACAGAGCACTTATGGCAAATATAACTTCCCCCCTTTGTAAGCCAAGCCATCCCTGCATGTTAGGGACGCTTGATTATCTTTGAACCATTGGTCAGTGAGGAGCTCTCGTTTTATTTTCTTCACTCCAGGGTCATCAGGATTGAGGACCCTGCGAGGTGTAAGTTGAGCAACAGTTTGCTGCAAATACTGTATATTCTTGCTTTGACAGTTGAAAGTGTTCGCTGATGTGTTCAAAAGCAGCCAAAATGCCATCTTTTGAAGGTGACCAATTGAACAGGAGACTGGACTTGATGGCTTCCAAAGGAAGCTTCCAGAACTGCAGGTAAGCGAAGGACTCTTTATAAAGTCTTGGTAAGGCCACACTTGGAATCCAGCACCCAGTTTTGGTCACCACGATGTAAAAAAGATGTTGAGACTTTAGAAAGAGTGCAGAGAAGAGCAACAAAGATGATTAGGGGACTGGAGGCTAAAACATATAAGGAACGGTTGCTATAATTGGGTATGTCTAGTTTAACGAAGAGAAGGACAAGGGGGGACATGATAGCAGTCTTCCAATATCTCAGGGGCTGCCCCAAGGAAGAGGGAGTCAAGCTGTTCTCCAAAGCGCCTGAAGGCAGGACAAGAAGCAACTGTAAGGTTTTCCACTTAGCCTCACAATTGTCCCAGCATTACTCAGGAATTTAAAAGAGCCAAAGAAACTCCTGAGCTGAGGTTTCAGCAAGCAAACAATTTTTATTTTGATCAAAACAGAGTTGGGTGACCCCATCTCTCTTCGTGGCTGGTAGAGAGATGAAGGCAACCATCAGAAAAGATGTCTTCCAACTTTTATGCCTTTTCAGAACAAAGAGATCAGGTCTTGGTACCAGGCATAAGATGGAACACACACAAAAAAAATTCCTAGATGATGACTCACACACAGCAACCCAGGCTCCATCCATAACTCCTTTCCCCCTCCCCTTACTGTGCTCTTTTCATATAAGCAATCACCTGTACCTAAAGCATGAAGCCCTTACTTTTCCAATATATATATAAAGCATCTGATGAAGCAATTAACTACAAAATAATGATTACAAAATAACAAAACAATGATTACATGATAACACTATAAGTATCAATATAAAATGGTTACTATATATAAAATAAATGCTAATGTCAAACTTAAACATACTAAAATCATAAGCACAATAAAATCCCTTCACAATGGATGGAAACTAATCAAGCAGAGAAGCAACCTAGAACTAAGGAGAAACTTCCTGACAGTTAGAACAATTAACCAGTGGAACAACCTGCCTCTAGAAGCGATGAATGCTCCAACACCGGAAGTTTTTAGGAAGAGACTGGACAGCCATTGGTCTGAAATGGTATAGGGTTTCCTGCCTGAGCAGGGGGTTGGACTAGATGACCTCCAAGGTCTCTTCCAACTTTATTATTATTATTGTTGTTGTTGTTGTTGTTGTTGTTGTTGTTGTTAAACTCCTACTTTCTGGCGACCTGGTACTCCTGATTTGTACTGACTAAATATCTTTGACAGTTAAGGTGATGGTAAGAACTTCTCCCAGCTCTGATCATCTGGGTTTTTTGTTCAGTCCAGTCTGGCCTGACTACTGGAAAAAATAATAATAAAAAAACAGATCTGTGAACATATAGAAATAAGTAAAGTTATAACTAGTAGCCAGCACGGGTTTGTTAAAAACAGATCATGCCAAACCAATCTTATTCCATTTTTTGATAAAGTGACCAAATTACTAGACCAGCGAAACGCTGTGGTCATTGTATATTTAGACTTCTGTAAGGCATTTGACAAAGTAGACCACAATCTACTGCTTGGTAAGCTAGAAAAAGTTGGAATAGACAACATCACCACCAGATGGATGTGTAACTGGCTGACAAACCGTACTCAACGAGTAGTCCTCAATGGCACTACATCCACATGGAGGGAAGTAAGCAGTGGAGTACCACAAGGCTCCATCTTAGGCCCAGCATTCTTCAATATTTTCATAAATGAGGGAATTGAAGGGGAACTCATCAAATTTGGAGATGACACCAAACTGGCAGGAGTAGCCAACACCCCAGAAGACAAGCTCAGGATCCAAAAAGATCTTGACAGACTTGAACAACAACATGAAATTTAATGTGGAGAAAAGCAAGGTTTTACACCTGGGAAAGGAAAAACCAAAGGTAAGAGTACAGATTAGGCAAAGCCTGGCTCAAAAACAGTAACTGTGAGAGGGACCTTGGAATCCTAGTGGACGATCCCTTGAACATGAGCAGGCCATGTGCAGCAGCAGCCCAAAAAACTAACACAATCCTTGGTTGTATAAACAGAGGCATAGAATCAAAATCATGTGAAATATTAATACCGCTTTATAGAGCCTTAGTAAGGCCATGCTTGGAAAACTGCAGCCAATTTTGGTCACCATATCACAGAAAAGCTGTTGAGACTTTGGAAAAAGTGCAGAGAAGAGCAACTAAGATGATTAAAGGCCTCAAGACAAAAACATATGAAGAACGGCTGCAGGATCTGGGTATGTCCAGTTTAATGAAAAGAAGGTCTAGACATGACATGATAGCAATCTTCCAATATCTCAGGGGCTGCCCCAAAGAAGAGGGAGTCAAGCTATCCTTCAAAGCGCCTGAAGGCAGGGCAAGAAGCAACGGAGGAAAATTAATCAAGGAGAGAAGCAACCTGGAACTAAGGAGAAACTTCCTGACAGTGAGAACAATTTATCTGTGGAACTGCTTGCTTCCAGAAGTTGTGGGTGCTCCATCACTGGAGGCTTTTAAGAAAAGTCTGGACAGCCTCTTATCTGAAATGGCATAAGGTCTCCTGCTTGGACAGGGGGGTTGGACTAGAAGACCTCCAAGGTCCCTTCCAGCTCTGTTTGATTGATTGATGCCAGCAAGACTTTCCTTATGCGATGTGTCAAAACTTTGCTGTCATTTAGAAACAGAAAACTGGTGGCAGAAAAAGATCTAGTAGTCTATTGAGTTTCCCCTCCAAGTTTTTTTTTAATTAATTAATCCCTCCCTCGCTTGCCTAATTTTCCCAAGAATATTTATTTAAGGAGAAACTACCCTTGAAATGTACACCTTATCTCGTTTCCCTGCTTAAACTCCTTTCAAGATCTGCCAAGAAGGAAGTATAAGAAAGGCGATATTCATATTTTAGCAGAAATACCAGCCTGAAACTGCTAGCCTATTTCTCCCTCTTCTGTTGTTTGTGTGGACTATCCAAATCAGGAAGACAGGAATCTGGGATCCTCCACTGGGGGACAGCAGTAGAACAGCTGCCTTGCTTGATTGGGAGACGGGAGTGCCTTCTGGTCTTGGGAACCCCTCTTGCAAGGCCGACAGAGAAGTTGACGTAGGAAGGCACCTGCTCAATGTTTACCTGACCTGGTTAAGTCAATGTCGGGCAATAACTTCCTTGAATGTAATAAATCAACTGGGTCGCGTGGTGGTGGTGGTGGTGGTGGTGATATTTGTTCAGAAACACCTTTCACTTTTTGCATGCTATATATTTATAAGGTTTACATCTCACCTATTATTTAATTGTTGCGGTGAGAGTCGTGACATAAACCAATAAATAACTACAGGTTATTACAATCTGTACAGGAACTTACAACCACACCTGAGCCACAAAATTTATCTAAAAGATGACAAATGAGTAGATGACTGCCAAATAATGTAAATCCTTCCATCCCCCACCATCCAGTCAGAGCTGAAGAAGCTTCTTCGACAAGAAGCGAAACATCTTCAAAGAAAAACAAAGTAAGTCCGGTTCCCTCTTGAAAAAGCACCTTTGGGACAAGCAGGACCTGGAGGATGGACAATCTCCATGGACATTCAGACAAATGGTTGTCCTAGTGGACAATCACTTAAATAGGAGCCAGCCATGTGCTGCAGCTGCCCAAAAGGCCAACACAGTGCTAGGCTGCATTAACAGAGGGATAGAATTGAGAGCATGTGAAGGGTTAATACCACTCTACAATGCCTTGGTAAGGCCACACTTGGAATACTGCATCCAGTTTTGGTCACCATGATGTAAAAAAGATGTTGAGACTCTAGAAAGAGGGCAGAGAAGAGCAGCAAAGATGATTAGGGGACTGGAGGCTAAAGTATATGAAGAATGGTTGCTGGAATTGGGAATGTCTAGTTTAATGAAGAGAAGGACGAGGGGGGACAGGATAGCAGCCTTCCAGTATCTCAGGGGCTGCCACAAAGAAGGAGTCAAGCTGTTCTCCAAAGCGCCTGAAGGCAGGACAAGAAGCAACGGATGAAACTCATCAAGGAGAGAAGCAACCTGGAACTAAGGAAAAACTTCCTGACAGTTAGAACAATTAACCAATGGAACAACCTGCCTCCAGAAGCAGTGAATGCTCCAACACTGGAAGCTTTTAAGAAGAGATTGGACAGCCATTTGTCCGAAATGGTATAGGGTTTCCTGCCTGAGCAGGGGGTTGGACTAAATGACCTCCAATGTCCCTTCCAACTTTATTATTATTATTATTGTTGTTGTTGTTGTTGTTGTTATCTCTGAGGAGCTGGACTCCTGCAATGGGTCATTTTGTCAGTGTGGGGATTGCACACCAGTGCAAAAGCCAACATGTGAGATTGGAATAAGGGACTGAGCGGGAGGGTGGGCTGTCCAGAAGTGCCATCTGCCTCCCAGCCCCCACCCCTTGGTCCAAGTGAGAAAATAGGATAGGATCAACGGAATGGAATGGAATAGAGTAGAATAGAATAGAGTAGAGTAGAATAGCATAGAATAGCATAGCATAGCATTGGGAATGGGAATAGGAATAGGAATGGAATAGAATAGAATAGAATAGAATAGAATAGAATAGAATAGAATAGAATAGAATAGAATAGAATAGAATATAGAACATAGAATAGAACATAGAATAGAATAGAATAGAATAGAATAGAATAGAATAGAATAGAAATACAGAATAGAATAGAATATAGAACATAGAATAGAACATAGAATAGAATAGAATAGAATAGAATAGGATAGAATAGAATAGAATAGAATAGAATAGAGATGGAGTGGAGTGGAGTGGAGTGGAGTGGAGTGGAGTGGAATGGAATGGAATGGAATGAATGGAATAGAAATAGATAGAATAATAGAGCTGGAAGGGACCTTGGAGGTCATCTAGTCCAACCCCCTGCTCAGGCAGGAAACCCTATACCATTTCAGACAAATGGCTGTCCAGTCTCTTCTTAAAAGCTTCCAGTGTTGGAGCATTCACCGCGTCTGGAGGCAGGTTGTTCCACTGGTTAATTGTCCTCATTGTCAGGAAGTTTCTCCTTAATTCCAGGTTGCTTCTCTCTTTGGTCAGTTTCCAACCATTATTTCTTGTCCTGCCCTCTGGTGCTTTGGAGAATCCCCCCTGGGTTTCTGGTTGGTTGCTTAGCTGGTTAGATTTACACCCTAGTTTTCTTGCAGGATTTCAAGGGCACTTCCTGGGAAATCTCTGTTCATTCATGATAAATTAAATGGACACTGTAAGTCAAAAAACCATTCTGGATTTTTATAGATGAGGATAGGGCAAGAAGCAATGGATGAACCTAATCAAGGAGAGATCCAACTTAGAACTAAGGAGAAACTTCCTGACAGTGAGAACAATTAATCAGGAGAACAGCTTGTCTCCAAAAGTTGAGCCTTTTAAGTTTAGTGATTTGTTTGGAATGGTATAGGGCAGGGGTAGGCAACCCAAAACACTCAAAGAGCCACTTGGACCCATTTCCCACCAAAAACAAAACACCAGGAGCCGCAAAACCCTTTTGATATCTAAAATGAAGATAACACTGCATATATCCTTTTTTACCTTTATTATAGGTGTGTGTGTGTGTGTGTGTGTGTGTGTTTGTGTATGTGTGTGTGTGTATGTATACACACACACACACACACACACACACACACATTAAAAATGAAAGTAAAAATATGACTCTTGGGAATATCCATACTATTAAAACAATGATCACCAAGAGAATGCTTTAAGAGAATAAAATTACATACACACACAGGTAAAAAAAGGATATATGCAGTGTTATCTTCATTTTAGATGTCAAAAGGGTCTCTCTCTCCCTCCCTCTCTATCTGCCCTTGGTCTACCACTCTTCTTCCCCCCACACACACACTCTCTCTCTCTCCCTCCCTCCCTCTCTCTTTCTCCCCCCTCTCCTATCTGCTGCTCACCTGGCAAGCTTCAAGCTGTTGTCCAACAAGCTCAGGGGTAAGCAACCTCGTCTCTTTTATGACTCATGGACTTCAACTCCCAGAATTCCTGAGTCAGCCTAGCTGGGCTAGCTAGCTCTCTCCTGCCCTTCCTGCTTCCTGCTTCCTATAGAGACGCAGGAAAGGGAGGAGCTCCGTCCAGAAAGCTTTTCAGCTCCTCGGAGAACACTGTGAGTGCACTCTCTTTTACACACACAAACACACACACACACACACACAGAGAGAGAGAGAGAGAGAGAGAGAGAGAGAGAGAGAGAAGCAGGGAATCGCAATTGCCTCTCTCTGTCTCTGTCTCTCTCTGCAAAGGCAGAGGAGGCTGAGAGCCACATGGGAAGGCTCAAAGAGCCGCATGCGGCTCCGGAGCCGCAGGTTGCCGACCCGTGGTATAGGGACTCCTGCCTGGGCAGGGGGTTGGACTAGAAGATCTCCAAGGTCCCTTCCATTCTGGCTTGGATGTGTCTGTTCTGCTCTCGGTGCTTGAATTGCTCTACCAGCACTAGCTGGTCCCCGTGGAAGGCAGAATGCAGGGTATGGTACCCATAGAAGGGAAGTATTTTTGGTTTTATTGATCATTGATGCCTCCTGGTGGTCAATAGATTAAATGATTGGAAGAGTAAAGTGAAGGTATAATGGGGGCCAGAAGATGGTAAAGGACAGGAAGGCTTGGAGGAACGTTGTCCATGGGGTCACGATGGGTCAGACACGACTTCGCAGCTAACAACAATGGGGGGTCTTCTATCTAGACCAGGGGTAGGCAATCTTGGCTCTTTGCTGGCTGAGGAATTCTGGGAGTTGAAGTCCACAAGTCATAAAAGAGCCAAGGTTGCCTACCCCTGGACTAGATCATTCCCCTGCTATCCCCATACCATTTTGGACAGATGGCTGTCTGGTCTCTTCTTAAAAACTCCCAGTGTTGGAGCATTCATAGTTTCTGGAGGCAGGTGGTTCCACTGGTTAATTGTTCTCACTGTCAGGAAGTTTCTCCTTAGTTCTAGGTTGCTTCTCTCTTTGGTTAGTTTCCGCCCGTTGCTTCTCCTCCTGCCTTCAGGCACTTTGGAGAATAGCTTGACTGCCTCTTCTTTGGGGCAGCCCCCCAAATATTGGAATACTGCTAACATGTCCCCTGTGCATGGGGCAGGTGGCAGAGAGCAGGCAAAGAATGGAGGCACTTCCTTGGTCTCCCTGAAGTGACCCAAATGCTTTGCCCACCCCCAGAGACCCCCTGCAATCCTCCAAGCATCCCTGACAGGGTCTCTCTGCCCCGGGGCCTTGAGCTGCCTGAGTTTTGCCTGGATCCTTGAACCCCCCCCCCTTAGGAGAGACTGGCAAGATGAGGGGGAAGGAAGGAAGGAAGGAGGAATGGAGGGAGGAAGGAGGGAGGGAGGGAGGAAGAAGAAAGGAGGGAAGGAGGGAGATAAAAAGGAGGAAGGAAGGAAGGAGGGAGGGAGGGAGGGAGGGAGAAAGGAAGAAAGGAGGAAGGAAGGGAGGGGGAGGGAGGGAGGGAGGATGGAAGGAAGGAGGGAGAAAGGAAGGAAGGAAGGAGGAAGGAAGGAAAGAGGAAGGAAGGAGGGAGAGGGAGAGAGAGAGAAGGAAGGAGGGAGGGAGGAAGGAAGGAAGGAAAGAGGGAGGGAGGAGGGAGGGAGAAAGGAAGGAAGGAAAGAAGAGGAAGGAAGGAGGGAGGGAGGGAGGAGGGAGGGAGGAAGGAGGGAGGGAGGAAGGAAGGAAGGAGGGAGGGAGGGAGGGAGAAAGGAAGGAAGGAAAGAAGGGAGGAATGAGGGAGGGAGAAAGAAAGGAAGGAAGGAAGGAAGGAAGGAAGGAAGGAAGGAAGGAAGGAAGGAAGGAAGGAAGGAAGGAAGGAAGGAAGGAAGGAAGTTGAAGCCCAGCTCAGGGCCTTATTGTGTACAATCGCAAGGTGTGTGTGTGTGTGTGTGTGTGTGTGTGTGTGTGTGTGTGTGTGTGTGTTGCATCAACAGACTGGCACCTGCCAACATGTAATCACAGACTGGAGTTTTAGGAATGTATTGAAAAGAATTATATAGCTGCCCATCTTAGCCCCGTCTCTGGGCGGCTTCCATGAAAGGGGGGGGGAGTCGGCTGTGGCCAGGAGTGACTGGATGCTGGGTTCCTGCTGGGAAGGACAGCCAGGGGGGTGGGGGAGAGACCCTAGAAGCCCACCTCCCACAAAGGGCTTTCCGTCCTGGTTACCAGCAGATGGCCTGGCCTTTGCAGAAGGGGAGGGGGCAACTCTCCCCTCCCTTGAGTGACCAAGACTCGGAAGAAGCGGAGGAATGCCTCTTTAGCCTATTGACCGGGATTTATTTGGAGAGCATTTCACATTTTGCAGGAGGAGCGTTGATCTCCCCCAACGTCCGGCGTGGCTACTAAGCGCGGTAGGCCTCCACTTCACAGACGGTCAAGTAGTCCACCCTGGGTAAGTGGACACTGACGTAGCGGCCTCGCTGCCCATTGCAGTAGATGGTGGTGATGGAGCCCGGGCTGGTGTTCAGGATAGTCCCGCAGCTGTGGGCCAAGAGAGGTCATGTTAGGAGAGCAGCCCTCCTGGCCCCCACCTACCGGTCCCCCTAAGCTCACCCTGAGAACACAGCCCCCCCAAATCTTCAAGGGCAGCCCCCTTTCAGTAGCAGTCCAGACCTCTCGTCCTCTGCTGCCTCTGGTGTTGTGCCTCCTCATGTTCTGATGAATTGGAAGGGAAGACCAATGGAAGGGATTCCCCGGGGTGTGGTTTCCTAAAAACATACTTTGATAGCTCCCTCGTGCAACAGTTTCTCTAAGTGAAATACCGTGATCGTGTCCACCTTTCTTTGTGAGGTCCTTGGTGCTCTCTGAGCTGGGTGGGTCTCTTAAAGGTGTTTCATGACCAAAGGAGGTCACATCATCAGGGAGGATCAGGCAACACCAGGCCCTGATGACGTTACCTAGTTGGGTCATGAAACAAGAAAACCACCAAGCTCAGAATCCCGCAGTTCTCCTCCTCCTCCCCCTCCCCCTCCCCCTCCTCCTCTCCACAAACCCCACTTCTGTTTAGCACTGATGATGTTACCTAGCTGGGTCATGAAACGTCTGCAAACAAAAAAGCAATCTCAGAAAACACCAAGAACCCCACAGCTTTTCTTCCTCCTGCTCCTCCTCTCTGCAAACCCCCTCCCTTCTAACACTGACGATGTGACCTAGTTGGGTCATGAAACCCCAAGCTGCAAATATTCTCTTCTGTTGCCACCTTTATTTGCCACTTCCCTCTGCTGGTTTATTTTTTTACATCGGAGTGTAGCTCAAAAGACTTCGGGGGCACCTTCCCCACATCAAGGGCCTCTTTCTGAGGTGCAGTGACCAGAATTTTGTACAAAATCCAAGCAGAGGCAGCAGAGGTGGCCTCCTATCAGGAGCTTAACCCAGTTCCGAAGGAGCCCGTTGTCTAGATTTCTAACAGAAACGATAGCAAAAACGAACAATCAGGTGGCATTCACACAGAACCCCCCCCCCAAAAAAAACCTAATTGAGACCAGAACTTGCTCGATTAAGGGCTGGCCTCCATGCCACTGTCAGGCTCTTCCCTGTCTCTTGGAGCAGCGGGGAGGGAGCTGACCTCCCAATCTCCACAGCAAGGGAGTCACCACACCTGGGTCCCCAGGCCAAAGTCAGCACCTCCTTCTCCACAGCACCCCAAAATCAGCCACACTGGCTGTGGGTTCTCGGCGTGGGAGGCCCCAAACCCCTGGAGGACCCCAGTTTGTTTGTTTATTTATTTATTTATTTATTTATGAGACTTATATACTGCTTTTAAGTGCAAGCACTCTCTAAGCGGTGTACACCAGTAAGCAATGTATATATATATATTTACATTGCCCCCAACAATCTGGGTCCTCATTTTACCTACCCCGGAAGGATGGAAGGCTGAGTCAACCTTGAGCCGGTGAGATTTGAACCGCTGACCTGCTGAACACAGTCAGCTAAAGTGGCCTGCAGTACTGCAGTTTTAACTGCTGCGCCACCTCGGCTCAGTTGGGGATGCATTAAGGACTCCAGTCAACTTACCGAGGGTTGGACCTGCCGTGGTCCTTCAGAGAGTCTCCTAAATGGACCTCAGCTCTATACAGTCTTTCGCCACAGCAGTCCACGCGGTTTTTCACTATCACCACGGAGATTTTATGAGACTCTCCCAGGTCCACGTACCACCAGGGGTTTTTCTCCTTCTTGGTGTGGGTGCAGGATTTGTTGTACCAGTCCCCGTTGCAGTTCCCGTCCACGGCTTTGTCTGCTGAGCCAACGATGTCATGCTGGTGTATGGACGACTGCTGGGCCAGCTTCCCCCAGGCCAGGTTTCTTCCCTTTACACCTGCGGGGGGGGGGGAGAAGGGGGGGAGGAGAAGAAGAAGCAAAGGTGCAAAGTCCCCAGGGCCCCCTTTTTGTGGGGACTGGGGGGGGGAGTTTTGAAGGTGGAGAAAGGGGTGGAGAGAAGTGAGCAGAGTGCAATGCTCCGTGTCTTTGCTATTGGGGGAGGAACCCCCCCCCTTGGCCCTCTTTTTCCTCCTTCTCCAAATTGTCCTGAGAAGAACTGGACATCCTCACCATAGATTCAATGCGGCCTCAACTGAGTAGCCATTTAGCAGGTTTTTAATAAGAATAAAGTTGGAAGGGACCTTGGAGGACATCTAGTCCAACCCCCTGCTCAGGCAGAAAACCCTATACCATTTTGGACAAATGGCTGTCCAATCTCTTCTTAAAAACTTCCAGTGTTGGAGCATTCACCGCTTCTGGAGGCAGGTTGTTCCACTGGTTAATTGTCCTCACTGTCAGGAAGTTTCTCCTTAGTTCTAGGTTGCTTCTCTCCTTGATTAGTTTCCACCCATTGCTTCTTGTCCTGCCTTTGGGCGCTTTGGAAAATAGCTTGACTCCCTCTTCTTTGGGGCAACCCCTAAGATACTGGAAGACTGCTATCATGTCCCCCCTTGTCCTTCTCTTCGTTAAACTAGACATACCCAATTCTAGCAACCGTTCCTTATACGTTTTACCCTCCAGTCCCCTAATCATCTTTGTCGGTGAGATTTATCCCTGGGTATAAATACATACGTGATGGATATGGGAGATTGCACCACTGGAGACCCCGTGGGTCTCTGATTGGGCACACTGAGGAGAGCAAATATCCAGTTGGCCCAGCAGAGTCGGCAATTACACCATCCCCCACGCCAGCTTACAGTCTACAGCAGTTCGGCTGTTCAATTCTGACCAGCTCCAGCCTTCCAGCCTTCCGAGGTCGTGAGGACCCAGATTGCTGGAGACAATATATTGACCCTATAAACCGCTTAGATGGGGGCTGTAAAGCCCTGTGAAGTGGGATATAAGTCTACGTGTTCTTGCTAAATGCTATTGGTATTGATCTCCCCAGTTCTAACCCTAAATGTTGCATGGTAGGTGTTTGTGGAATAGAAAAATATAGAAGGTGCATCATAGAACGTAGAACCATAGAGCTGGAAGGGACCTCTGCTCAAAGTAGGAGACCTTATACGAGGGGTAGGCAACCTTGGCTCTTTTATGACTTGTGGTCTTCAACTCCCAGAATTCCTCAGCCAGCATGGGGGAACTATGCCCCCCTCATGACTAGTGGACTTCAACTCCCAGAATTCCTGATCCAGCATGGCTGAGATTGGAAACCTCTCCCTTTCCCCTCAGCATGGCCGGCTCATGAATTCTGGGAGTTGAAGTCCACCAGTCATAAAAGAGCCCAGGTTGGCTACCTCTGGTCTAGGAGGCTCACCGCTTAGAGCAGGAGGACTTAGGATAGGGGTAGGCAACCTTGGCTCTTTTATGACTTGTGGACTTCAACTCCCAGAATTCCTGAGCCAGCATGGGGGAACTATGGTCCCCTCATGACCGGTGGACTTCAATTCCCAGAATTCCTCAGCCAGCATGGCTCAGCTTGGAAACCTCTCCCTTTCCCCTCAGCATGGCTGGCTGTGGAATTCTGGGAGTTGAAGTCCACATGCCTTAAAATGGTCAAGGTTGAGAAACACTGGATTAGAATAACGGAAGGGACCTTGGAGGTCATCTAGGTTCTGAGGAGGTCTCTCAAGGATCCTGTGGCACTTTCTGGCTGTTCTTCCTGTCAAGCCACCGGGCACGGTCCCAAATATGTTGGAGGCTGCTGAATGTCCGTGGCGATTCTCCCTCCTCCAGGTCAGGGTTGTCCCAAAGGTGCTTTTGGAAAAGGCAAGTAGACTTTCTGTTTTGCCTTGGAGAAGTTGCGCTTCCCATCCAAAATTCTCCTTCAGCTCAGTTGGATGAGAAGCAAAATGTCTTCCAGGAAGAGCAGAAAGTCCACTTGCCTTTTGAAAAAGCACCTGATAGCTCAGAGGAGACTGGGAGGGGGGGGCTAAGGAGGCTTTGGAATGGCCAGGATTACAACGATATCTCTGTGCACGCCACGCATGCAGGTCCTCTGGTGGTTCTTACCGGTGGGCAAGGGTCTGCACCTCTGAGCTGCTGCAGGGCCTGCCAAGAGGGTCACGGCCAGCAGACATCCCCAGACGAGGCGAGCGATCATCCTGCAAGCAAGGAAGGGAGAGGTCAGGAAAGACGTGGCAGTGCCACGTAGGAACAATGGGCAGCTGGCTTCCCCAATCAGGCCTGGCCTTGGACCCAAAGGGAGGCTGGAGATAGTAATAATAATAATAATAATAATAATAATAATAATAATAATAATAATACCTTGACGTGGTTGTGGGGCTTGTGTACTCTGAGGAAGATGAGAGCTATGCCAGAGGTTCAACCATACTGGACAGGTCTCATCAGAGGAGTCAGACAAAGAGTGTCTCTCCCATAAAAAATATGGTGAGACGTAAATTTCAGAATGCCATACCGGCTCGGACGTCGCCCGGGTTAACAAGGTCCGCACTAGATATTGGAGTTCCTGGATATCTGGTGAAAAATGGGTTACAGGACTCAGGACTGTTGGCTGAGCAACCAGGGCCAGCAGCTGCAGAACTACTGGAAGAAAAGGTGTTTACCCGTCGCAGATACACAGTGATGGAAAACAAAGAAATAATGATCTTTTTACTACAGATCAAGTCCAACAAGAAGAGGATATCTAAAACGAATGCACCAGTTCTGGAAAGAACAACATCCAGAATCAGAAATAACAGAACAGAGACTAGCAGATCAACGCCGATTTATAACACGAAATAAAGTATTTACGAACAGAATTGGACGACTGCAAAGGTTTACCCAGGCAAAGAAATCAAAGCCTTACAAGAAGTAATTCAGATGTAGAGGCAAACCAGGGGGAGTTGGCAGTGAAGGAATCCAGTAGAGATATACAACTGTTCTCATTTGGAAACCAGGCACCTCTTCCTCAGGAAGAACAAAACCCTCTAACTAAAGAAATAAAAGAATTGAAACAAAGAATAATTGAGCATCTAGAACAGCACAAAAACAACAGAATAAGGCTGCCTGCATTGAAGCTTGTTCCAAAGAAACAGCTAGCACAAGCATTAAAAGATGCAAATACTGCAATAGCAAGTATAAGCACCAATTCACTGCAAGAAACAAACCAATTAATGTACAGCACAGCTGCAGTTATAACAGAATACCTGGGATGTAAAATCAACAAAAAAGAAAAACAAACAAACAGTGCACCACAAAAATGGAAGGTTAGACTAGAAAATAAGATCAGCAAGTTAAGATCACATGCAAGCAAGCTAGAACAGATGAAAGAAAAGAAGCTGAAGAACAAGAAGACCAAAGAATACCTAATCAAGAAATACCACTTAGAAACAAGGAAGATCAAGGAAGCACTGGAAATAATAAAGCAACAAATAACAGCTATAGCCAGGAAAATCAGTAGATATGAAGCTCGAATTGCAAACTATAGGCAGAACCTCCAATTTCAATCCAATCAGAAACGTTTCTACCAATCCATCAATGGAGAAACTGCAAGGAATCAGTCAGTACCTGACAAGGAAGAAACAGTGCAGTTCTGGAAGCAGATATGGGATAACCCAAAGAAATACAACAAGGATGCAGCTTGGTTAAAAGAAGTGGATGCAAATAAAACAGAAGTTGAAATGAAAGAACTAGTAATAACAACAAAAATGGTAGAAAAAAGAGCAAAGAAAATCAAAAATTGGTCAGCACCAGGTGAAGATGAACTGCATGGGTTTTGGTTGAAACATCTAACTGTTATACACCCACTCATTGCCAAGCAGTTCAACAATATACTACAAGGAGGAGAAATTGAAAAGTGGCTAACAACTGGGAAAACCTACCTAATAATGAAAAATCCAACAAGAGGGGCAACACCAGGTAACTACAGGCCAATTACCTGCTTACCAACAACTTTCAAATTACTAACTGGTGTGGTAGCTGATGCAGTACAACAGCATCTAGTTGAAACACAATCTCTTTCCACCTGAGCAGAAAGGAAACCGCCCCAATAGCAGAGGAACAAAAGATCAACTCCTAATAGACAAAATGATCTTGGAAAACTGCAAGAGAAGGAAGACCAACCTGAATGTGGCATGGATTGACTACAAAAAGGCATTTGACTCTCTGCCACATGACTGGATAATCAAGTGCCTAGAAATAACAGGAGTCAGTAGAAACATCAGAAAATTTGTGCAAAGATCGATGGCACAATGGAAGACACAGTTGCAGATCAATGGTGAGAGACTGGGAGAGGTTAATATCAAGAGAGGAATATTTCAAGGAGATTCATTATCACCATTACTATTTGTTATTGCACTGTTTCCTCTGTCAACAATACTAATAACTCAGGACATGGCTATCAAACATCAAAAACATCTTCCAGACTATCCCACCTCCTTTATATGTATGATCTGAAGCTGTATGGAAAAACATCATCTGAAATAGAATCGCTGCTCAACACTGTCCGTATATATAGCCAAGATATTGTAATGGAGTTTGGCTTGGACAAATGTGCCACACTTACTATCAACCAAGGAAAAATAGTGAAAACTGAAGGAATCAAGATGCCCCACGAAAATAACATTAAGAGTCTGGATGAGGAAGAGTACTACAAATACTTGGGTATCCTTCAAGCTGACAAAATCAAGCACACTGAAGTCAAGAAAAAGATTAGAGGTGAATACATCAAGAGAGTGAAGAAGATCTTAAAATCCAAACTCAATGGAGGAAATACCATAAAACAGCATCTAGTTGAAAACAATCTCTTTCCACCTGAGCAGAAAGGAAAACGCCCCAACAGCAGAGGAACAAAAGATCAACTCCTAATAGACAAAATGATCTTGGAAAACTGCAAGAGAAGGAAGACCAACCTGAATGTTGCATGGATTGACTACAAAACGGCATTTGACTCTCTGCCACATGATTGGATAATCAAGTGCCTAGAAATAACAGGAGTCAGTAGAAACATCAGAAAATTTGTGCAAAGATCGATGGCACAATGGAAGACACAGTTGCAGATCAATGGTGAGAAGCTGGGAGAGGTTAATATCCAGAGAGGAATATTTCAAGGAGATTCATTATCACCATTACTATTTGTTATTGCACTGTTTCCTCTGTCAACAATAATGAATAACTCAGGACATGGCTATCAAACATCAAAAACATCTGCCAGACTATCCCACCTCCTTTATATGGATGATCTGAAGCTGTATGGAAAAACATCATCTGAAATAGACTCGCTGCTCAACACTGTCCGGATATATAGCCAAGATATTGTAATGGAGTTTGGCTTGGACAAATGTGCCACACTTACTATCAAACAAGGAAAAATAATGAAAACTGAAGGAATCAAGATGCCCCACGAAAATAACATTAAGAGTATGGATGAGGAAGAGTACTACAAATACTTGGGTATCCTTCAAGCTGACAACATCAAGCACACTGAAGTCAAGAAAAAGATTAGAGGTGAATACATCAAGAGAGTGAAGAAGATCTTAAAGTCCAAACTCAATGGAGGAAATACCATAAAGTCAATCAACACCTGGGCAATCCCAGTCATTAGGTACACAGCTGGAATAGTGGACTGGACTCAAGCAGAACTAAAAGCACTGGATAGGCAGACCAGAAAAATAATGACAATGAATCATGCCCTTCATCCACGCAGTGACATTGATCGACTTTATCGTACCAAGGCAAACTAGCCCTCATCTTCGGTCGCGGCGTGGAATGCTACAAGAATTCAGATGGTTGAAGAAGAAAAAAATGGCTTTGGAAGAATATCGTAAAGAACAATTATGAGAGCACTGAAATTAGTATATCAGGAAGGAAGCTTACTACTACTTGGAGAGACCAAACGGCCTTCAGAAGACCAAATCGAACGAACAGAATAGAGGCATGGGAAGACAAAGCACTACATGGCCAATACATGAAAAAAATAGCTGGGAAAGCAGATAATAATAAAACCTGGCAAGGGCTAAGAGCAGGAAAATTGAAGAAAGAGACCGAGGGACTAATTCTGGCTGCACAAGACCAAGCCTTAAGGACAAATGCATACAAAGTCAAAATTGAGAAGACAGCAACAGACAGTAAGTGCCGCCTATGCAAAGAAGCTGAAGAAACAGTGGACCACTTGGTAAGCTGTTGCAAGAAGATTGCACAAACTGATTACAAGCAGCGGCATGACAAAGTAGCAACAATGGTGCATTGGAAGATCTGCAAAAAATATCATTTGCCTGTAAGCAAAAACTGGTGGGATCATAAAATAGAGAAAGTCATAGAAAATGATAAAATTAAACTGCTCTGGGACTTCAGAATTCAAACAGACAAGCACCTGCAACATAACACCCAGACTTAACAATTGTCGATAAGAAAGACAAAAAAGTCTGGATAGTGGACGTGGCAGTGCCTGGAGATAGCAGAATAGAAGAGAAAGAACTGGAGAAGATAACAAAATACAAAGACCTACAAATAGAAATAGAAAGACTGTGGCAAAAGCAAGCAAGGGTAGTACCAATAGTCATAGGCTCCTTGGGTGCAATCCCAAAACAACTGGAGCACCACTTGAACACCATTGGCATTGACAAATTCGCTATTAGTCAATTGCAAAAGGCGCCTTATTAGGAACTGCTTCCATCCTGCGACGATATCTGTAATACCATCAAACATCCACATCTGCCTATCCCAGGTCTGGGTAAGGACTCGATAGGTAGACAAAATGCCAAATCCAGTCTGAACATCTGGCTGACTGTGCGATGATCGATAATAATAATAATAATAATAATAATAATAATAATAATTTGGCTATCAAACATCAAAAAATGGCTATCAAACATCAAAAACATCTGCCAGACTATCCCACCTCCTTTACATGGATGATCTGAAGCTGTATGGAAAAACATCATCTGAAATAGAATCGCTGCTCAACACTGTCCGTATATATAGCCAAGATATTGTAATGGAGTTTGGCTTGGACAAATGTGCCACACTTACTATCAAACAAGGAAAAATAGTGAAAACTGAAGGAATCAAGATGCCCCACGAAAATAACATTAAGAGTCTGGATGAGGAAGAGTACTACAAATACTTGGGTATCCTTCAAGCTGACAACATCAAGCACACTGAAGTCAAGAAAAAGATTAGAGGTGAATACATCAAGAGAGTGAAGAAGATCTTAAAGTCCAAACTCAATGGAGGAA